TATAAAATATTAAACAACAATCATTAATCGAATATGTTCTGCCGCACTGAATATTGAATGTGTTTAATTTTTTTAATTTAAAATGACATGTTGTCAAATAATTTCTACTTTTATTTGTATGTTTTTATAAAATAAATAGTTATTCTTCAAATCGGAGTGATTTGTTTTATATTTAAAATGATAATTGCGATAATAGATGATAATGTAATTCGTTASTATGAGTCCAATATGTTTTGTCCGACACTGTATGTCATGATAAAGAATCCCGTCATAATACTAACCACCAGGAGCAGATAGCAGCAAAGGCAAGATAATCTCGTCCCAGAGAATGGAGAGGATAAGTGGCGACATTGATATTGCCCTCCTCCCAAAGGACGGCATTACTAAAACAACTCACTTCAGTTTAAGGTTACCCTCGGTAGCAAGAGTGAGTGGGGCGACCCCACTCTTGAGCAACTGCTAAGGRATAGCACATTGAAGTGATAAACCTCCACCGCAACTATCGCAATGAGCGAATAGCTATACTAAGCGATAGTCAAGCGGCACTGAATCTCCTCTTACGAGATCAAATCGTTACTAGTGCARGAGTGTAGAGAACKGCTGAACAACCTAGCTGAAAAGAACCAGGTGCACCTGASCTGAGTGCCTGGTCACAGGGGTATAGTCWGAAACGATCTGGTTCACGAGCTTGTCCGCTCTGCAGCCTCCACCAATATGGTTGGGCCCGAACCSACTGGGGTGGGTCCCGATGCTGTGAAGGAGCTGCTCCGTAAGGAAGAAAGAGCACACAGGRRAAGGCATTGGCAGCGAGCGCATGGAATGAGACACGCCAAGCTGCTAGTTGGGGGTATAACCAGAAGAGATTTAAATTGATAATAAACCTCCCAAAGGACAAACTTAGGCTTCTGGTCGCATTTTACACCGGCCACTGCAGGTTGACATTTGGCATTTATTTAACATGGGCCTATCATCCAACTGTCGTTTTTGCGACAAGGAGCCAGAAACACCGGAGCACCTGCTAATCGACTGCGTTGTAGTCTGTAGGSGCAGGTCAAAGGCCCTTGGATACTTGTATCTGGAAAGGGATCACATCGCCTCGTTAGCACCCAGCAAGATATTGGACTTCATCAATATACTGGGACTTAGTGAGTTCCTGTGAGCCAGGAGAGGGCACAATAGACCTAAGGTCGCGGTGCATTCCTCAATTATTTTTCCTATCTATCTACTAAACACCTCCTTGCAAGAACAATCTAGCACCCTTTTCAACATTTAAGTCAGATTTTTTATGACACCCGTTCCCACGAAAGTAGGGTTTAAATGTAATAACACACCCAGACTTTTATTGGGCCAAGAAATGTCATTATCCGTTCCCACGAAAGTCGTACATTTTCATAAGAGATATCAGCTTTGGAGCGTTTTTTGGTGCTCACTCGCTTGTTGCATAGTTCATTATTATAATCAAGGCCAAATTTGTTACGCCCAAAACCTTCATAATTAATTATATTTCTTGTTTAACACGTTCTACCCGACGCATTTTATCTTTCTCTATTCATTTATTTTAGAAAGAACTATATAATAGGGTGTCAAAAAAGTCTTGCGTTATTTTTAATTTTTTTTTTTTTTTWTCTCTTGACCGATGCTACGGCTGCTGCTATGCCGGTCTCTTTCGACCAATTCAGCGATTTTAYCGCAATTTTCGACGACAGGCCTTCCGGARCGTGGCGCCTCTTCGACCACCTCTAAACCAGAACGAAAACGTTGAAACCATCGTTGTGYGGTGGAAATGGAAACTGTATCGGGTCCATAAACTGCACAAATTTTATTGGCGGCTTAAGATGCATTTTTGCCTTTATCGTAGTAGTACTGTAAAATATGMCGTATTTTCTCTTTATTTTGCTCCATGTTCGCAACGCTATAACTCACGAACGACTTAAAAACAACGACAACCATTCAAACACGTGTTAGCGAAAAAAAAGCGTGAAATGAGCTTTCCAAAAAGGTATAGCATGACCCGATGCGATGAATAAAACTAGAACTACCCGCTCTCAGCGCCAACTAGCGAAAATACCGCAAGACTTTTTTGACAACCTAATATATGTATGTATATGTTAAAAACGCTTACAAAAAAATATAAATTTATAACTCTCCTATCTATTTTATTTTTTGTACTATGGTTTTTAAATTAAAAGTATAAATATTTGTGGACCACCAGTGATCCCGGCTGAGTAGAACGTGTTAAATAAAATGAAAATCAAATTAAATCCTTTACGGTTAAAGGAAACAGAATAAAATAGTATAATCGACTCCGTTCAGCATAGACAACATTGTTAATCAATTGGAGTAGCCGCCAGCGTCAACTGATCTGATGCAACACGAACAATCTGTTCTTCGGCAATCACGATCGAGTAAACGGTATGGCTGGCTTCGGTTCCAATCGTATCATGACAGTTCATAGCGTTGCGAGGATTGTTTGAATTGATGTGAAACTGGGTAAACTATAAGTAAATCTTTGGGTAAATCTATAAGTACAGCAAACAACAACTTTCCGCTGGACTAATTTGAATGTTTCGAGTCGTAAACAATGGAAATTCCACCGAGTACGTACATATGTACATATATACATACATTTCTTGTATGTATGTATGTACTTGATGGATTTTCCATTATACATATAACATATGTATATACATACATACATGTCCATACAAACATATGTATTTGAAATAGAAAAKTGCCCGACTAAATCAGTGTTTAGGGGATTATATACAAACCGCCGCTGTCGACCATTTCAATCATTGAAGCATGAGTTTGCATCACTTTGGGTATTTTCTGCTGATGCGAACGAAGTGACAGAATCAGACAGAGTAACGGATCAGTACTTAAGTATAAACAAAAATTTATTGCTCGTTGCAGTTCTCTGATTCAGATATTATCGGTTTAATATTCGAAACACAATTTTTATCGGTTTTGGGTGGCAAGAAGATAGTCGCTCACAGATTTGTAAGTTAATAAATCAAGTTATTATTTCGAATTAATTTATCTTTATTTCTATTGGAGAAAACATAAGTATAAAACACGAAATGTCTTAACTATTGAGTTTTTGGAAAAAAACAATCCGGATATTTAATTTACAAAACATAATAAACGTAATTTAACACCCAAATGCGTCTATATTCATTCGATAAATGTTATCTCTCATAAAAACTTTAATAGCATTACTTCCAAATGTATTCATTTGCAAGTTTTATCACATTAGTAAACAGTTGATTCGTATATTGGTTTTGCGTATGCTCGAAAAGACGAAAATCCAAACAGAATCTATGACACCATTGAAGACCCGTTCCCACGACAGTCGGGTCTACGAAAACCGGAACGGACCCGGATTTTTATCCAGCCAAGGACTGTCAACTCGGCAGAATTCTGCCGTTACAACAACAACAACAACACCATTGAAGACCAGAATTGGTTTGCAATTCTAACAGCCAACCAATTCTGTCTTGGATTCTACAACATCTCTGAATAAAGCGGAATTCAACACTATTTCTTGCATCCACYCCACGATACATAAAATCGATCAGGACTGATGGAAATCAGCTTTGCTAGATTAGCCTTGAGCATCCACTCTATGGGCACCCTAAAGATTAGATATTCTGTTAATTTCAATAAAGGTAAATAGCACAAATCCGAATACCATATGACTTCTAAAGTAGCTGAACAATCAAAATGTGGTATGCATCTACTTGTTTCCGTTATAAAGCTCATTTCGCTGCTCAAAAATACCGTTTTTTTTTTGTGTGAAGTTTTCGCGTGTTTTTAATTTAATTTTGCGAATAAATAATTTTTTCGTCGATATTTCATTAACATAAGAATGGGAATGGGAAAACAGTGCACATAAATAAGAGAGTATTTATGTGCGATATGAGCAAAGAAAAGGAAAAGCTCCTGCCGAAATTGCTGAAATAATACATTGTTCTCAAGAAATGCTCATCTTGTGTCAACAACAAGATACCAAGAAAACTAAAACCACGTAAAACCGATAGTGTTGAAAAACCCGTAGTATGGAAGAACAAAGCCGTTCCATTTATGAAGACCTAACTTTTTGGACGAATTAGCATGAAGGAACAACTGCTTTCAAAACGCCATACCAAAATTCGGCTGRCATTTGCAAAGGCCCACTAAGCCAAACCTGCACAATTTTGGAGGGACGTGCTTTGGATGATTCTATATGGAAAAATATTTGTACGTCGTCCATATGATCAAGCCCTACAAACAAAAAATTAAGGACGGCGGTAGAATTAGCATGACCGGAGTGTGTTTTCATGACATGGCGTCAATCCAATTGATCAAATTAATGATAAAATTAACCGTTTCCAGTATTTGGATATACTGAAAAATAAAATGGAGTCATTCGTATTTGAATGCAAGCCCATAATCTGTACATTTATAAAGACAAAGATCCAAAGTTCTGAAAAGGTATCCTTAGAATGTGCAAATCTAAGATGAATATAAACAGTATCCTCAAAGATTTGTTCCACTATTAATGTGATATAAGTATGAACGTATTACATTTACTGAAAAAGGCGTTACATTCCATTCGTCAACAAAATTTAACATTCATGAAAGATAACCGAAAGCAAAATATTTATATTTGATGTYTACCGCCGCCAAAATGGTTTATTTTTTGGGGCAGTTATTGATGCCTAAGGTTTTCTAATAAATAATTGATTTAGCGAAGCCATGCAAGGTGGTCATGATTATATATACAGACATAATTATATAAATTTTACTACATAATTATATAAAAAATGGCTTTAAACTGCTGATGAATACATCACAGTATTTTCATGTTGGGTATTGTACTTTAAAACAATTTCAATTGTCAACATTAACTTAAGTCGACTAACTACAATGTTTCTGCTTTAAATCGGTAGTATATAATTTTCACATTGTTCACTCCCAGTACACTACCATGGGTCTATATAAAAAAAAGATCAACTCACCATTATCTTCAAAGTTACGACGACCACCGCCATAACTACCACCATTCCTGTCATCTCGTCCACCACGACCTTATATTATTAACAAATTAAAATTTCTGTATTTTTATATATATAAATTAATTATTTTACCTCGTCCGCCGCCTCTACCACGTCTGCTACCAAAACCTTTATTCCCGTCTTCTGTGTTTTGAAGCTCCGTATAGTCAGTTCCGCCATTATCTACATACTCATCATCGCCATTGTCTTTATATTCGGAGCATCCATTACCAAAACCACGACCATCATCCTGCTTTCAAAAGATATAGTTTAATGTATTTTAAACTCTAAACAATGAGTAGCTTACTTCATCACCCCAATCTGACATTTTCTGCGATTTATCTGTAAACGAATTTAAAACTTGATTAGATTTTTGACGTAAATCGTTTTTTAAACAGCGAATTTCCCGATAACGTCGCATTTTGTCTTTGCGATACTATTGTAATAAGAAACCGCATTTTTAAGCCGCCAAATTGACCATTTCTTTTTCTTTAATTTGTAAACAAAAGCTACTCTACCTAATATGACGAAACGTCAAGATTGGAACATATGAGCATACAGTAGTGGGCACAAATGCGACACCAATCCGGRTATTTATCATAGCAAATATTTAAAAGTGATATACCTTATTAAAAATTACTAAATAGACCTATGTACATATGTACGTAAGTCTGATTATAMCAATGTCCAGTCCATATATGCACGCCTATAACCCGTATCGAGCAAAAAATTTCTAAATTGTTCTAACTATTTTATTATTTATTTATATCACCTTCTGTTCCGAAGATTATTAACTTCTTTTATAAGTTGGCAAAGATACAGATTGCAAATTCTATTTCGCTAAATTTAAATGTTAATTTTTGTGACTGATATACTGACAGTAAAAAAAAAACTATAAAACTAATCGTTATCTATATCATTATAAAACGATTTGCTGATTATACAAATAAATACTACATTATATTTATGCCTTATTTTACTAACTTACAATTGAATGGTTCACTTTTTAGACTTCACCTAAGCGTAGAAAATTTGCTGACGTTCTAAAGAGACGACGCTACAGATCAAACGGTACATCGAATGTTCGAATAGCGGTTCTTGAAAAAGCGTCGGCGACATCTATTTCTTATATTTTTATGTTAGAATTTACCTTCCGCTGCTAACCTCTGACCATTTAACAGACTTTGTACTTGTCAAATATTCCAGCACTCTTCTTCTTCCTTTATGTATACCATGCTTTTTCAATGCTGGGCATGTGTTCTTAGTCTTGAATATCGTGTAGCAGAAAGCAGAAATTAAGGTTAGTTCAAATTTGTAAGAAATTGGCAAAGAAAAAGCAAGAGGCAAGTATACAAATAATTCACAAAAACGCCAATTATGGATGGCTCTGGAAATAATCGTTATGAACTTTTGTTCATGGACGATGATATTAGTGATCCATTAGATAATGCTGCGAGCAAGTTGAAAAAGCAGGTTAAGACTGCTGGTGGCAGTGGGGGTAGTGCACCCTCCACAAAGTCATCGAATAAACAAAATGTCGACGGTCCTACAAGGGCCCAATCGAATAAAAAACCCAACCAAGCTGAAAAAGAGAATAAGCCATCAGCCTTGAACAAAAATGAACTGAATAAGAAGTCACCGACTGGTAATGCTGTGGATAGAACTAGCAAGCAAGGTGGGTCAGCTACTAACACCAATCGCAAACGAACTGGTCCCTCTACCGATGGTGGTCAAGGTGGTCAACAGCAACAGGGCACGAGAAACTTAAATTTTAGGCAGCAAAGCGATGAATCTCGTGAACAACGTAATAACCGTCGAAATGCTCGAGAAAATGGATACAATGGGAATTTTGGAAATCAGATTGAAGGATCATCACAGCAGCAACCGCGACAATTTCGGGACCGCGAWAATCGGGGACCACCACGCAGCCGCAATTTCGAAGGTGGCAATCGTGGGGGAAAACGTGAATTCGATCGCCAATCGGGATCTGATAAAACTGGTAAGTGTAAAAATATCATACTCCCTTATAAATATATTTCCGAACATATGAATTTATACATTTATATGTATAAATGTGAAAGCATGTGTGGAAATGTGGCATTAAATATATGTTCACATGCAAGCGCAATAGCATAATGTGCTAAATGTCAATGTTTTTACGAAGTAGGTAATGGAGATTCTTAAAAAAACAAAAMGTACATTTATCCGCCATCTTTATTTTTCCTAAAAACTATTAATCTTAATAATATTTGATATTACAAAACGGAGACAACAGAACGTTAGAAAATAAATATTGTTTGCAGGTGTCAAAGCAATTGACAAACGTGACGGTGCTGGCGCACATAATTGGGGATCTGTCAAGGAAGCTATTGATGACGTCAATAAGAGCGATGTCGAAGGTGGCAATGTTACTGATAAGGCTGAAGAATCTGGTAACGAACAAGCTGACCAAACGCCGGTCGAAGAAGAAACCAAAGAATTAACACTAGATGAATGGAAGGCGCAAAAACAACAACGAGTCAAACCAACTTTCAACATTCGTAAAGCTGGAGAAGGTAAGTGTAAAAAATAAGTGACTGTTAACTGAATTCCAAAAAAGGGAAATCAATTTTATGAACTGTGTATTCACTTTAGGTGAAGACACAACTCAATGGAAGAAAATGGTAGTTCTAAATAATAATAAGAAAAAGGAGAATGAAAGTGAAGAGGAACTTGAATACGATCCTGCCATGTATCCTCAGCGAGTTGGACGTCAACAACGCGTACTTGACATACAATTTAATTTCAATGACGGCCGCCGAGGTGCTGGTTTTGGTGGACGTGGGCGTGGCCGTGGACCTCGTCCAGGAGGTAACACCCCTAATCTCAACGCCAACACCACAACCAATTTCAATGCTACSGAACGACCACCAATTGGTGGTGGACGCGGCGTTAATGCAGGCAGAGGCGGAAAGCGTAACTTTGGCGGTTTTAGACAACAAAATGTTGCTCCAAAAGTCAACGACGAACGTCAATTCCCAACTTTGGCTTAAAAGTTCTGCATTTKTAAGGCGCAGACGCAATATCAAAAACAAAAATGAGAACAACTATTAAAACATAATGAAATTAAAGAAGCAAATAAAATATGAGGATCAAGAATTAAAATAAGTTTGAAGCTTCATCAAATTTAATGAACATATAGTGAAGAAAAGAAACAGAAACTGCTGACAAATATTAAAATCCAGTTCAATGAATTATCACAAGCTACATATTACACTTCTGTTTTTAGTAACATTCTATAGAATTGATACATTCAAATATATACATATATGTATATTGTCCTATAATACTAAGGAAAAGACCAAAACAAAAATAAATAAACCGCCCAATAACAACAGCGTCAAAGCGTACGAACAAGCAAAAAGAAAAGCAATTGATTTCAGGTCAAAACGTTTAAACCAATAACTTCAAGAGCCACACTAGCATAGCCAATGCAACAGCACTTGTCGTATATATAAAGTCTAGTAGTCCCACTGCTAAGTAATGTGTATATTTTTGTTGTTTGATTAAATTAATTTTTTTTTTTACAAAATGATAGCGAAAGTTGAGGAAACATTCACTTTCCATTATTTTTAAAACTATTTCCAGTTTTGCAAATTTCTAGCAGTTAAAATTTAAATAATATGAAATAACAAAAATAACCCCCGAACTACGTTAAGAAGTTCGTTTAAGCAAAATTATTTGATGTCATCACATGAATAAAATCCATGAAGTGAAGCAAATAAGCTATCATCTCATTATCACCCTCATGCAAAGCAAATATCATTTTATTGTAACTTTCTTAATTGTATTAACAATAATAATTTAAAGGAAAATAAAAGTTCACACTATAAAAAAATAGCAAGCAAACTTAATAAACTACAAGATTATGGGTATGCCATGTTGATTAATAATTGTTTCTTTTAAGTAAAAAGTTACAAAATATTAAAGAAAATACATTTTCAATATAGTTGGTGCATGATACACAAAAACGGTTTTAATTGCATTCTGTAACTTAAAAAAATCACCCAAGTGAAAATTGCTTACAATTAGAAATTGTATGAAAATACATACATAAGGTATAAAAATTTTTGAAATGTATTTTGACCCAAAGAAGTTCGAAAACTCGTTTAAATAAAAACTTATTTGATAAAATTAATGAAAGCAGCATTTTTCTTCACCTCTAAAGGAGCATCAGTAATAAATTATGTTAAAGGCTAAATTCCTGATTGAGTATAAAAAAAGTACATCCTTAGTGGGTTTTTTGAAATTCGTATTTCTTTTAAAACAAGCTAGCAAATACATGAGACACAATAGTAAGTGAATAAAACGGGCAATTTGAAAGGACACCGTATATGGAAATATATATAAAATATAAAGGAATTTTTCGGAATATGAAGTTGAAATAAAMGGAAACTTCGGAGATCCTATAAAGTATACAGTATGGGACAAAACTAAATCATTTCGTTTTTTTAAGCCCAAATGATGGTAAAACAGTTGACGAATAGATCAGTGGTGTTGCGGTTAGTACAGAAATTTTAACTATTATTTGCTATAATTTATTCTCAGACGAATTAAATATTAATATAAATATTGGAATGGTATAAGGCGTGTAAGAAGGCTGAAAGGGAAAATTCAATCCTATATATTGTGACCATAAACTATAGCGGTGGTACTTTTATGGTCTTGGGCTATTTCTCTAGAATAATGGATTGTTTACACCAACCTTTAAAAAAAGAAACATGAATTTTCTTCTAAAATGGTAGTTCCAGCAGGACAATGATCATAAGTATACCTCTAGCAAAACTTGATTCCGGAGAAACAGAGTTAATCTTTAGACTGGCCGGCGCAATCACCCGATCTTAACACTATTTAGAACTTATGATGAAATTTTAATAAAAATTAATAAGAAATTGAAAAACGAGAAAYTTACTTTTATTTCCCATTATTATTTTTTAAATTTAAAATCAAACAAACCAAAGTTGATGGTGCTTTAGTTTTGTACAATACCGTATACGTATAGCTGAGTCGATTTGGTATGTATAGTTCAGCATCATTTGCAATGAACGACGCGCCCTATATTTTATTAAATTATCAATATTTTATTATTTTCAAATTACTAATCGAATACAATTATTTATACTCAAACTAGAGGTCCCGCCCACGCTTTACTGCGGCTGACACATACATAGATAATACTACTACTACCATCTATATGATTTCTATTAGTTAGATTATATCTGTTAGTTAATGAGATATATCATCTTTGTGAAGCAACTCGTGTTAGCTTAGAAAAAAATTGATCATAACACATTTCGTGTGTTAATAAAGCATTGCTTTTTTCTGGAATTTAGGCTCAGCACCAGGGAAATCAATCGTTCAAAAGAGATTTGAGGCGATGAGCACCGAGGAAAATKACGCTCAAAAGAGGCGAAAGCTCTGTGCAAAGTGGATGYCGCGCAAGTTCATAATCCAACAAAAATAAGGAATAGCTGATTCTGAAGTGTTTGAGTTCTCTTTAATCATAATAAAACCGAATTTTTGCGTAGATGTGTAACAATAGAAACAATTGTATGCAAACTCTTCATMATTTCCATTTAAATATTCCTCGCTAGAGAGATAATAAACTCGTCCGATCGCTGCTAAATTCAAAGTGCTATAGGGAAATCGCGACTTTCGACGTGCCATTTATAGGCATGCTCCCGACGCCACGTCCGGCCAGTACCGCCGCAAACGCTACGTCTCGCAATGACTTCGAAAACTAAAAAGTAAAGGACAAAAAAAGTTATTGTGGGATATTCATATAGAGACATCTCGGAGTTTCTGTCTCGGAGACAGAAAAAGCGACTTTGTTTTATACCATGTAGTAATTAACATATCCCTTTGAGAACCAAATATTTTGAGATGATGGAGATTTTACTAATTAAACAAATTTGCAGTGAGTGTCCCTATTATTTCTGCTAGTTCAAACTCTGTCAGCTTAAACCAAATAGTACTTATGCCTATATTCTGGAAATAATTTACGGAAAACGAAATAAACAGATAATCTCTTATAAAGCATCGTTGCTTAGTGACTAATAATTCAAACCTACACCCTATGCATGCATATTGACAAAAAACTATTTAACTTTGAAATAAACTTGCCCAAAAAAACGACAAAATTTATTTAGAAGTTCAGAATTAATTAATAATTTGATAAGTAAGGAATGGCAAAGTTCCATTGTAACCGAACATTATATACTCTAGCAATTTACAAGGATCAAAGCAGAGGATATACTTTTAGGTGTCACAAAACTTAGATKAACAAGTAAGGAAGGTATTAGTTTGGGTGCAGAGGAGTTCGACGCAAAGGATCAATGGACACCACGGTGATGGATCGACCATAATAATTTTTAGTGCATATTTATTATAAAAAATATATTTTTTGTGTGTATAAAAAAAGATTAAAAGCAAAAATAGTATAATTATTGAAAAAAATCGACTTTCCCCTCACGGATGTGTAGTCTCCACGCAAAATAACTCTGGTGGGTTTTCATTAGTATATATGACACAATTCCAATTTCGTTGGCGCCGCGATCTGAAGGTAACGTTGGAAAGAGAAAGTTTACGAGATATTTGATTTTAAAGTTTAAAAATTTCCAAAATTCGAACAATTTCAACACGCTATTCTACATTTAACACACTTTGTGCACATTTTTCATAAAGAACTCTATATTTTAAAAAATATTTTTAGCACTCGAAAGGATCATCACTTATGTGGTAATAATTATGAGGAAATGGAGCGCTCCCATATCATGCTAAGCAAATTCGCAATTCTCTTTTTATTATAATTCCTCTTTCTTTATTTAACAATTTAGTTCGAATAAAAAGAAGTGTAAATTATATTTCAAGTTAATGTTTATACTTCCATGCATGTGGATGTTTTCTTATTTAAACTTAATAAACAAATAAGTAATATTAACTACATTTTATAATATTATCATGAGTTTTACTTATTTATGTTTATTAAATATAAATCAAGCGCTGTCGTTGAAAATCCTTTATATTTGGTGTTTAAGATGTGGCAACGCTCGTTGTCTTGATAACAGTAAAMAATCTAACCTCTCCAAAGATGAGTGTGCTAAGTGATTTTTAAATTAATAAATTTAGCCGAAAAATATCAAAATAAAATTGAAATGTGAACTTATTTCATCAGAGTGTATATTTAAATATACAAAATGAAAAAATACTATGTGTTATTAATACACATTTTTCAATTTTTAATGGGGAATATTTTAAAAATATAAGTGTTACCACCATTATTTTTGCTAATTCCTCCTTTGGAGAAGCTCCCCTATTACCACATATTCCATTTCTAACGAAATTMATTTTTTTACCCGACCGCTAAATTTAAAATTAAGATTCGATGAGAAAACTAATTTTTGTAGACTAGACCTTAATTCCTTATGGCTGCAAAAGAACTGACAATTAGGAAGTACTTTAATACCGTTTGCACGACGGTCACGTCTAGGAACCGGAACAAGCCCGAATTATTAGTAGGCCAAGGRCTGTCAACTCGTCAGAAGTCTGCCRCTACAAGCACTTGCATATTAATATAGCCAAAAAATGTTATTTGGAAACCAAACATCTTTAAAAATGTCAAGAATCTAGGTGTTATTTTTTTAAAAGTCGCGCTTTCGTTTAGTAAACCCACTATTAATATGTTTTTATCATAGGAACTGTTACTTCACGAATTAAAATGTTTTTTATTCATAAAAAAACGCCAATGAGTAATCTCAAAATTACTTTTAACTCACCAGGAAATATATCAATTAAATTATTGACAATCTTGAATATAATTCAAAAGAATTGTACACTTTTCAAATAAGTWCCAATAATTTCCTTACTACGACTTCAACGGTTAAATATAGAATGGAAGAATGTTCGAAATACACTTTCTTAAAAATGCTTTTCGCACATATTGTTCACGGTTGCCATTTCCTCAAATATTTACATGACATAGAATTTTGTTCTCCAGATCACGAAAATATATATATATATAGTTGAAGCTGACTTATAGTTTTAAAGATATTTGCATTTAAAGTTAAAAAATTGACAACTTTTAAATTGATAATTTGTATATTGTGAATAACTTTTTCACTTATATTATAATATGCACTTTTCACTTACTAACACTTCRCTATAACGTTTTTGTATATTAATATTTTTTAATATTTATTGCAAATAAARCTTTATTTTAATTATTTTTTACGTGGTTTTTGACAGTCACAAAATCTTACATTTCATTATTCAGGGATGTTTTTATACTTGMATGAAAATAAATATGTCGATAACAAATATTAAATTTTCTATAACATAGTCAAAAAACATAATTATCAATAAAAATAAAAATATATGTTCACTTTGTTTCATAATATTAACGAAATTTATGTAAAATKTATTTATTTTTAACCTTTTTGYTTTTGAGTTGCTTACAAAATATAAAAAAACGACAATCGATTAATATCTATGGCGATCTCTATTCACTATATTCAAAATGGCAGACAAGAGTTCTTTTTGGTTTTGTGACCTGCTAATTACGAAGTCTCAAATTTGAGGCAATATTTTGAGACTAACGCCAGAGACTGTTTAGTRAATAGTAACTAGTCACAAATTGACATTTGACCTAAAAATTTCTCAAATAGAGCCTAGAGACTGGTTACAGAATCCCGCTTTTAAAATCTCAAATTTAGAGACTTGATACTGTATCTCAGTACAGAAACTCACGGATAATCTTATTTATTTTGAAAGGTCATATTTTTATCAACTTCAATTCAACTCAAGGGCTATTCGTCATCATTTCGAGCATAAAGTTATAAACGAGTTATTTAATGGAAATGGGGAGTTATTTTAAATGAATTTATAGGA